GAGTGGTTCATGTTTAAATTCATTCTATTTTTATTATTATAGTTTGTGTTCGCTATTTGTGATGAAGATAACTTTTTAGCAGAGGCTTTTTATGGTTCTTTCAGCTATGGGATCATAACCTCTGTGTGAGAACTGTTTCTCAGAAGCGGAAGTAAATCTGTGGAAGTAGCTTTTCTGCTGCGGTGACTGACAGGCCTGCTGCAGAAGATCAATAACCAGGTTGCATGAGCTCTGAGCCTGTTAAGGATTACTGCTAGCAAAGGAAGGAGGGTAGAACAGAGCCTAAAGCACACTGCATGCTTTCTCACCAGCCAGAGGAACAAAGAGCATGGCATCCTCCCTCTCCAGCCCACTGGTAGGATTCTCGCCTTTTTCAGAACAGGATGTGTGAGAATTGTGCAGCACACTTGGATAGGATGGGAGTGTAGCAACAGGTTTGGTGTGCAATTCAAGTTGGAAATGTGCTTCACTGTATTAGTGTCATTTACCTCAGCTCCTGCTGTAATTGCTCTGATTGCTAGCAAGTTACATTGAGAAGATTGAAGGAAATTTTGATTCTGCATTCAATTACGGGGCTTAATTGCTCTACAAAATATTTTGCATTGTACAAATACACAGTGGATTTATGCTCACATGCTTACATATCAAAAAGAAGATTGCATTCCAAAGGAATCTCCTTAACTGAGAATAAGAAGCTTCAACAGATATTTGGCTTGAATGAAAGTGCCTTCTTTTTGGAGCCTAGCCCACATCCCTAGGTATAAAGTGCACTAGGATTGTGTGAGAACATCTAAAACAAAACCATGTCCTTTGTCCAAGCTGAGGGACTGCTCTAGATTCAGTGTTGGAGTGTTACTCCTGCCTTGCTAAAAATGGAAATGAGAAGCTCTATTTGCCAAATCCAAAAGCTATTTGTTTGCAGAGAAAAAAGTCAACCAACGTTTATTGATAAAAAAAAAAAAGATAATTCCTCTCAGTGCTAGGTTCTAGGTTTCAAATGAAATTGCCTTAATCTTAGCAAAATACCTCAGGAATAAAAGAAAATTCCCATTTTCTGCAGTTATATCAATAATGGTACATTGAAACAGTATATGCATAATCAATACGGTATAAAGGGCACTAGTCATGGCTGGTAGTCACAGGATCACAGGATGAAATACAGTGCTCTAATCCTCTGATTTTACAGCAAGGCAATTATTTTCTACTGTGGTTTTTAAGAAAATACTTATTACGTGAAATGGGGAAAAAAAAAAAGGCCGCATAGCCCAGCATGACTTTTTGCCCTTGGCATAGCTTTGCAATGCCGTCTTTGAGTTGACAAAATAGTTTTGATATTTCAAGTGTGTGTCTTATACTTTACCCTTCCCCTCAGTTTCAGTGCTAGTCACAGCAACTGGATTACCTAATCAGTGTATTTGCTTTGAATTTAGAGAAATTCAATAGAGTAGTGTCACAACCTTTACCCCCTCTTTTTACTTAGGATTTTCTTTCTTCAGAGATTGACCTTAACTTGGACAGTAATGAAAAATGAGTTTTATATAACTTGGTTTTTGGGCTTTTTTTCAGACAGTTTGGACAAGGACAGAAATTGTTTACAGTTGTTAATACTCCAAGAATCCAGTATCATCTACTCAGTTCTTTTCTATATAGCCAATATTATTAGGTCAACAAATACTTTTAAAACTTTCATAGCAAGATATTTGCTTTTTAAACATACAACACCAGTGAATCAGATTCTAGCGGCACTGATAAAAAATATAGCAACACAGTTTTATTTTTCTGAAATTTATTTTTTGACTTCCACAAATTTCTTGGGTCCTATTTTTCTAGAAAAGCAACCTGTAATTCCATATCTTAATAAGTGGCAGTGCACACATAAGACAAGAACTATTCAGCTCCATCCAAAATTCCTTTTTTTTTGTAAGTGCACAGGGAAATCCATTGTGAAAACATGATGAGCAGTTCATAATCTTTTTGTAAATTATAATAAACTCGAAGTAAATACATACATTTCTGTTTTAAAGGTATCTTTAATCTTTTTAACTATCTTCATTATTGTAATGCTTGGGGATTGATGAAGCATGGGGTCCTCAATTTGCTGCATCTCACTGAAATCAACAAAAGGCTGCTTGTTGTCTTGCCTCCTGCCAGGTAGGAGCATTGTAGCACCAATTTAGTTTGGTTTACACTGCTGTGAAGCAGCAATTTGCAGGTGTGGTTCCTCAGTCTAAATCCAGCAGCCAAATGAACAGAGTACCTTGCTCTCCTGCAGGTTCACTCTTCCCCAGTATAATGACTAACAATGAAAGTGAAACCACTAGACTCTGCTGTCTTGAAACTAAGTTGAGTTTTCATAACACAAAGGCTGTCATTGAATGACAACTCTCATCTTCCCCATCTATCTTCCAGCTATCTGCTTCTACTTTACCTGCTCCAACTCTGGTACTTGCTTAATATCAGAGTGAAAAAATTTAGGAATCTGAATCAGCAAAAAGCTGATTATGCAATTTTTAAAAAGGGAGAAAAATGGATAATATTTTTCTTTCTGAACTGCTTAAGTGAAGATAAATAAAAACCAGCTCTGGTGTAAGGAAGAGAAGAATTGTATACATGACTGTAGGGAAGAAAAGGACTGCCTGTATCAGTAGTGGCCTTCATTTTAGTGTAAGGTGAACCCTACCAATATCAGAGGGGCATCACTGTCCACTGCCACTGATGGCTTCCCATCTTGTGAGTCCCATGCTTCTGCCCATAGGGCTCGTGAACCAGCCCAGCTCACTGACACCAGCTTTGTTATGTAGCCCATTAAATCAACCCAAGTGGTCAGTGTGTGCAGGGTCTGGCACGGGGGATAAGACAGGGGCCAAGTGAAGCATCTTGGGTGGGAGAAGGGGAAGAGTGGCTTCCTCTGCTTTCCTTTCCCTGAATGTGAAAGCCATACTTGTACCTTCAGAGGCCAATGCCAAAGAGGGACAGAGAGGGCAGGGCTGTCTTTCCCACCATCAAGGGGATTTGGACCAGTTTAAACTGGCCCTGAAACAACACCGAAAGTCACAGCCCCTCACTTAAGAGTCTCTGTTTTAATTCAAGTGTATTTCTGGCAGTCTGCATGTGGGTCAGCCACATGGGAAATTGCCATCTGTGAACTTCTGAGCTTCTCAGCAGAAGAAAGACAAGGACCTACTGGAGACAGTCCAGCAGAGGGTCACAAAGATAATTAGGTGTCTGGAGCATCTCTCATTTGAGGAGTGACTGCAGGTGCTGGGCCTGTTTAGTCTAGACAAGAGAAGACTGAACAAGGATCTCATTAATGCAGATAACTATCTCTAAGACAGGTGCCAAGAGGATGGTGCTGGACTCTTTTTTGGTGGTGCCCAGCGACAAGAGAAGCAGCAAGGGCCATAAATTAAAACAATGGCCATAAAATAAACACAAGAAGTTTCACCTCAGCATGAGGAAGAACTTGTTTATGTTGAAGGTGGTGGAGCCCCGTACCAGGGAGTTCATGGAGTCTCCCTCTCTGGCAACATTCAAAACCCGTCTGGACGCATGCCTCTGTTACCTTCTTTAACTTGGCATGGGGTTGGACTAGGTGATCTCCAGAGGTCCCATTCAACCCTGTGATTCAGTGATTCTGTGTAAATAACAGTGTGGAAAGTCCGGTGGGTTGTGATGGATTTATGGAATAGCACTGAGTACCCAGACTTGTGCAGCTCTGAATTTAATAATCCGTGTCTCTCTGGAGTGTTGTCGCATTCCAGATATGGAACCCGATTTTGCGGGCAGCAACGTTGCAGAGCCAACTACACCGAGAGTACTGGGATGGCTCCACGGTGATTTGCCCACCTAACACCTGGGCACTGAGCAAGGCGGGAGGGGTTGCAGGACATCGCTGAGCAAAGCCAGGACCGCGCTCGGAAGGGGGAGAGAGGAAAGGAGAAGAGCACCGAAGCATGGCAGAACTTTTCACATCTCTTCCTCTGTTCTTTCAAAACTTCCCCTTTCTCCCCAAGGGCGCCGGACCAGCACCGAGGCGATCAGCGGGGTGGAGGGCTCATGCGCCTCCCACTGCCGCCGGACACGACCCACAGGGGTGCCCAGGGAGCTCCCGGCGGGAGCGCGCACTGCCCGTCCGTCCGTCCGTCCGTCCGTCCGTCCATCCATCCATCCATCCATCCATCCATCCATCCATCCGCAGCGCTGGGCGGGAGGCGCCGCGCGGGCGCGCGCTCTCCTAGGGGAAGCGGGAGCCGCGGTGGGAGGTGGGGCCGAGCGGCCTACGCCCGGTATGTCCGCCTGGCGCCGGCCGGGGCGGCGGCGGCAGACGCAACTTTCACGGGACGGTGGCGCCGCTGCCGCCGCACAGCCCGGCGGGGGAAGGCGCTGCGAAGCGTGAGCGGCTTCTCTGGGGGACTCTCCCTGTTCGGCTCGTGGAAGGGGGGAGAGGGCGGTGCTGAGACCTGCCGGGACGAAAGTTTTGGGGCCGCCCCGCGGGCAAGCGGGCGAGAGGAGCCGGAGGCCTCGGCGTCAGGAGCATGAGAGGTCTGCCTCGGCCTCGCCGAAGCCCGTGAGGGGCGGCACGCAGATCTCTCCTCGGGCGGGAGGAAAGGAGGCAGAGCGAGCGGGGGCGGCAGCACCTACCGCGGGGACCCCCCCGAGCTCGCGGCCGGGGTCCCTGCGAGCCCCTCCAGCCGCAGCGCCTGTTCTCGAGCTCTGTTACCCGTTCCCTGGCGGAGGAAGGGGAGGGGCGGCGGCGGGGAGCTCTGTCGGGATCCCTCGGGACGGCGCGGAGGCGGCTGGAAACTCTTGAGCAGGAGTAAGCGGCTCCCACTGAGCCCTCCGCATCGCCGCGTTCCCTTCCTGCCGGGGGCTTCCTCCTGCGGGGTGCGAGTACGCATGGGGATGGCGGGCGCGGAGCTGGGGCGGGGAGGGCCGGGAGCGGCTCCATGAGGACCGCAGGCCTGTTCGTGCCCCCGCCGCCCGCCGTGCCCTGCCCTGCCCTGCCCGCGCTGGCCTGCCCTGCTCGCGCTTCCGACCCTGAGGACCTCGGCTCGTCTACGAAGAAACTTTTCCGCAGCGTTCGAAGATGGAGCCTGCCGGCATGGATTATTTCTGCGAGCAGGTACAGCAGAAGGACGTGGGCCGCAGGATGCAGGTCGGCCAAGAGCTGCTGGACTACCTGGGCGACCCGGCGAGGTCCCCCGATCTGGAGCAGGACCAGCAGCGCCTTGACAAAGTGATCGACGAATTAACAGCGTGGATCAACTCCAGTAATTTTAAGGTAAGGCTGCTCGGCGGGGCTCGGTACGGGAAGACCATGATTCATCATGGTAGGGAGGTACAGACCCTCGGGTTACTTTTTAATCTTTTAGTAAGAGCAAAAGTAGAACTACATTTTTGCTAGTTTTATCCCTCCTCGCACAAAGGGGAATATTCCGAAATTTTGGAAGGGTGGTTAGTATTTTATTGTTTCTATCTGTCTGTCCTTAAAGAATCAGTACTAGGGGTTTTGGTTTTGTCTTTTTCCTTGGCTAGATGGTGGTTTGGTTTCGTTTTGGTTTTGATTTAAAGGTTTTTTTACGACATAATGTTAAACACAACACTCCCCTCCCAACTATGATGCACACTCGGGTTCTGTTTCTTACTCAGGAACAAGATAGGTGATGATTTTTTTTCTCGCTACCACTCCCATTCCATGGTCTCTATACTTGGGTGTAATGTTTCATGGGATTGCCATCGTTTTCTGCAGGCCATAGAGAGTGCTGTTTCACCGGATTTGTATCACTCTGTGTGTATTTTAGACGATTTAAGGAATAATTGGCTTCTTGGGGTTCCCACTGGAAGTTTAAATTTGTTTATATCGTCTTTAGGTGACTTTCCCGTACCTGGAAAGTTATACAGTATCCTCACAGCGGCCTGATGACTCACACGTTTCGCTTTTTCCTGCGTGCATGCGTCTTTTAGACCGAGCCACGGTAAAAGACCGATCATTCCCTCACACAGTGTTAACACTTGCGAGTTGTTCTTACGTCGGTAGGCTGATAAGGCGGTTCACAGCGCAGTTTTAGTGCCAAGGACAATCATGTTCGCAGTGGCGATTTTTTTTTTTTTTTTTTTTTTTTTTTTTTTTTTTTTTTTTTTTTTTTAATTTTCCTCTCCCTGCGGTGCGTGTGCGCGGCGCGGCCGGGCATGCCCGCGCTGCCGCCGCCGGGGGCCGCTGCTGGGACGCGCTGCGTGCCCGGGGTCCAGGCCGGGCCAGCTCCGCCCTGCCCTTCTAACATGGTCGACTCGCACTTTGGGCCTTTGAACTCACTGCAGTTAGCTTGTTCTCGCTTTTTTTTCCATTTTCTGAGACACCGGAGGAGGGCACAGAGTAATCTCAAAGGACAGTACGTTCCTGAAATGGAAATTTCTTTTTTCTCTCCGTTGAGTTTAATCCGCCAGCCTTTGCACGTAGCAGCTTCTGAGTTGAAAATAATAAAGGTTTAACTCCATTTACGTATATGATTTATTTATTTTGGAAGTATGTTTGTCAGTAAAGATCGAGTTAGCTTGAGGAAGTAGCATGTGCTGAACAAATACAATTTATTTGCCTTTAAATTCGTCATTTGAGGGCAGCTGTTGGTGATAAAATTGATTTCTGCAAAACCTTTTCTTTTCCTGCACTTGTAAATTAACAAAATTAGGCTTTAAGACTGGAAATTCAAATTTCAAGATGTATTTTTCATATTGCAAGGCATTTTTCTTACCGTTGATGTAAGATGCAGAACTCCTTACTTATTTGGACTGTAGGATGAATGAGAGCTATGCAGTGCTCCACAAGCATCAGTCACAGAAGGGACATCCCCTAGTCCAACCTCCCTGCTAAAGCAAGTTCACCTACTAGAGCAGTTTGCAGAGAATCACAGCCAGGCAGGTATTGAATATCTGTGGAAGAGACTCCACAACCCCTTTGGGCAGCTTGTTCAAGTCCTTTGTCACTCTCGAAGTAAAGTAATTTTTTCTCTCGTATTCGGACGTAACTTCTGTGTTTCAGTTTGAGCTTGTTGCTCTTATGTGGCTGGGTACCTCTGAAAAGAGTCATGCAGAATGAGAGTATTACAAATTCTAAGAATTTTGAAGATAGCTTGCAAAATCATTGAAGTATTTTTGTTGCATCTTCTCTACATCCACTTACCGGTGGCTCTTTATTGTGTTTCCAAGTATGTCGTGATCATAGTGTTGGTCACGAGTTTGATTCCTGTAGGGGCCATCACTTAAGAGCTGGGCTTGATGATTCTTGTGGGTCCCTTCCAGCTCGGAAGATTCTGTGATTTTATTAATGGCAGCAGCCCAAGATCTTGGATGTGTTGCTCTTGATCAGTTTGAGTGACTGCCAGTATGTGGTGCTTCAAAATGAAGACTAATATTGTAGAAAAATGGCATGTGCTTTACTTCCGTATTTTTTCTCATAGATGTTACACATTTAAACATTGCATTCTATTTTGTTATTGCACTCAGGCCTTGAACAATAGAAAGTAGTGAATGCCACAGACTTATGTGTCTTCTCAAAAAAAACCTAGTGATTTTTGATTGCTGTATTATTTGACATGTTGTTGGTCACCCTTTACTGAGAAATGGATACATAGAGCACTTAAACAATTGTGCTTATCATCTTTCTTTTGTGTCTTGCTAAAGGTCTTGCAGGTCTCCGGAGTCCCAAAGTAATGAATCCCTTCCGGTTGACATGATTGGTGATATCACAAGCAGTGGTAATGGCTGGAGATTCAAAACTGTTGAGCTAGATGAATTGGAGATAAAAGTGGGGAATGCTGGAGGAAGTTTTGAGGGGTAGCATTATTTGTGCCCTTGGTGATGGGTATGGATAATAAGGGGATAACTGATGTGACTTGCCCTGAATGTGCAATATATTTTATTCCCGCTGAAAGCTGAGTTCTTGCATGCAGTGCACTGTGCTGATCATGCTGGAAGAGTAGCTGCATGATCTGGAAGCTCTGATCTCAGCCCTTAAGCTGTGCTGTGAGGAGAAAACTTTGTATGATACACCGGCCTAAGAAAGTTTTTGGCTCATGTAACCAGAAGGGAAATAGTCTGGAGATAATAGGAGGATTAGCTTAGCAGGCTTGATAATGAGTGAGGGGAAAAGAGAACAAGCATTCAGTAAATAAGCTGAACTCAATGATCTTAAGGGCCTTTTCCTAAACAATTCTATAATTCTAAATGTGGGCTAGTTATCAGCAAGGTTGAATTAACTAATCTGCTAAAGATTTTGGCCACATAAAACAGATAGTGCATTTGCTGTTCTGAAGTTTGCAACTCTTTATAGTTATTTAATAAACAACCTGGCAATTCCAAACTGAGAGAGCAGGTAGGAAAATTTCTGAGTTCATCTAGCTCATTGAAGTGGAAAACACAATTACTAGCTTGAGTTACTGGTCAAACAAAAAGGTGGGATTAAGAATGTGTTGGCTCATCTGCACATGGTTCAGAGTTGTAGTGAAAATTGGTTGCAGAACATAGGGAATGACCTAGAGAATCAATGTTGAATTTTGAGGACTTCAGTTACGATGTCTATGCAGTGATAAATTGGCTTACAAAGACTCTAGAAAGCTTTGCAACGTCAAGGAGTATACAAAAGATGTGCATAATTTCAGCTTTCATTTTGTATCTTACAAGAATGAAAGAATTCCTCACTGAACTGCAAATTATTTGCTTGGTGATCTGATTTATTTTGTATTGGTTGGGTCTAATCTCTCTCCTTCTACAATGCAGAGATTTGAGTATTTGGGTATATATCAATCCCTATTCCCCCTCCCTCAGCGGTTTTCCAAAGGCTGTGAGGAATAGGAGTGGTTAAGTTGAATGCTAAGTATTAAGATTTGAGTGATAGAATTATTCTGCTGGTATTTGGTCTCAAACTGAAATATTTAGTAATCTCAGGAAAGAGGGACAGTGCTGTTGTTTGTGTTTGGACTCTCAAGTGAGCTTCAAACAGTAAATTAGTTACCCATTCTGAGAGTGGTAGTACTGATAGATTCTGGTGTTACTGTGTTAGCTTGAATCTTAATCTATGTATACATGAGTTTTTAGGTCTCTCTCATACTCAGTAGTCACTTGAAATAATTACAAGATTATTTGACCGTGCAGTCCGGTGACTCAAACTGTTCTATGTCTTACTCAAGTAATCTGGAAATCTACTTTGAATTTCTGCTGAAAAGATGTGGGATGGGGAAATACTGCTTTTAATGTAGAGCTTTGCAAATCTACTCTTGGCTGTTAGCATGTTGTAGAGTCTTTTAAGAACACCAAAATTGAACAATTACCTTCATTAAAACTTTTTTTGAGCAATAAAGCCACCTTTTGGTTCTTCAAACAAATCACATCTGATCAGAACTAACAAAAGCCTATGACTAAAATGGTGATCGTTTCTCAGGGTAATTTTATATGACAAGAGTAACTGACTCTGTGAGTCACCTTTGGATTTCTTACCTTTGTGGTCAGTATCTTAGGTTGTTTTATTCCTCAGCTGCAATAGAAGAGTAATTAATAATCACTATGCCAAAGCAGCAGATTGTTTGCCATGAGAAGAAGAAAATCTAATTTCACTCTATCACTTTCTGATAGTGTGGATAAACTGTTCATTTTAGGCAAATCCTTGGAATTATCTCTTATTCTATGCGTCTTGAAGAGTGAGATTTTTCTGAGGTTTGTTTGTCTCAATACCAAATACCAAAAGATACTAGAATACCAGTAATGTTAGTGTTGCATTTTAGTATTTCTTTGGTTTGGCAAATATTTATTTTGTCTTTAGTTCAACAAAAGGCCAGTAGGAGGAGCTTTCAATTTCTGGAAGGGAAGATTTGAATTGTAATTTTGAAAATAGGTAAAGAGCAAGTGGTTAGGATGCTAGTCTGAAGTACTTGCAAAGAGATGGCAGCAGTTAAAACTTGGCTGACTGCATGTATGTGTGTGAGGTAGAAGGTACAATTTAAAATTATCTGAACAAAATGGGGATACTGAGATCTGAAAAGAGAGAGTTCAGAGATCAAAAATGAGAGGTGGCACATTTGATTACAAATAACTGAATGCATAAATGCAGGATGTGGGGCGTGTGAGTAGCAGACTTTAGGAAGAAAATGTGTGGGTTGTCTTGGATCTGAAGTTGAACACAAACCAGCATATGCTACACAAAAGGCAAATGCCATAGTGAATTATAGGACTAACATGCAGGACGGAGAAAGGGAATGAAAGAGGACTCAGCTAAACCTTTGTTTTTCAGTT